CGCATGTGTGTTGAAGAAGAATTAACTGACCTCGATACGCACGTTTCAGCATTATTATCCGCTGAAAACGCTCGTCGTGAAATCCTTCGGGAACTTCTCGCAAATCTAATCGTACAAAGATTTAAAAAAAGAAAAAACTTTTTAGCGGCTGTAAGAAAATCTGTTTCTTACGAAATTATAACACTTAGATGAGAAAACGTACGCGCGACTTTCAGGATTCTACTTTTCTGGACGGCAATGCGCGTCTCACTTGCCGTTTCCTCATCGCCTCTCTCTCGACTCGCCGCGTTACTTAAATCGCTTCCGACAAGCGCGACTATTCGCGCCGCCCCGGGAAGTTCTATCGGGCCAGGCGGGGGCATCCACCTCGCCGACGTGTATCAGGGTCGCGCGTTAGGGAGCGCGCGAAGATGCAAGCGACTTCGGCTTCGTCGAGCGCGCGCGAACGGCCCGAGCAATACTTTCGATACTGTCCGATCGCACTGGCCGGGCAACTGATGACGGTATTTCTCTTACCAGTCTTTTTTTTTTTTACGGGCGATTCTCGTGACTTCGACGTTTCTGCCGATGTTAGCAAAGTAAACGCATCGACAAATAAATGACCGACATATTTCATCCACGTGCACTCTCCGTTGCACTTTTATGCCGTGTGCCATTCCAATACACTCCTATGATTGCTCGATGTTACAGCCGAGAGTAAGCCAGATATTGCGGGATATGCTTGGGCATTCAAATAAAACACATAATCAAAACATATAATCTCCTTACAAAAAACCTAAATTTCACAAAAACGACGATAGGATTGGCAATAAATTTTAGAAAATTCAACTATTTAGAAATTTAAATATACAGCTACAGCATTAAACATCTTAAAAAAATATTATCTTAAAACATTTTTTTTATAAGTATATCTTGTGGCTTTTCGATGATATTAGAATGAAATATGTTAGTTTCAAAAGGCTATTTTACTTTTTAAATCTAAAAAATGGACACGTAAAAAGGGACGTGCATTTTTTAAATTTTTAGCAATATATTTTAAAGCGAATCAAATTGGTTTCTGACAACTGCGACGTGCTCTTGTCAATACCAAATCACATTTTGCAAAAAACTCTATGTTCTATCTAAAAGTCATATTTCAAAATTATAAATATGTGCGTCTCTGCATGTGCCGTTTTGTAACGAAAAACAATCTGGAGTCTAAAACTTAAAATAAGTTGATGGAAAACGCTTTTTTCCGCGAGAAGCGAAGCTTTTTCCGATCAGGAAGGGAGGTCAATCGTCGCTGGCCAGTGCCTATCTGGCAGGATATCACATCGAAACACACACAAATAGAAGGTGAAATTGTCTCTCTCCCTCTCTCTTTCTCTCACGTCACGAGTTTGTGGATCTGTAATTCCTCCGCGTCACATTTATCTCGGACGCAATCGAAAAGAGAGAGAAGAGGAGAGAGAGAGAGAGAGAGAGAGAGAGAGAGAGAGAGAGAGATCGGCTCGCGTTTCGCGTTCTCCGAGTTCCTCCATGCGGAAACGCGCGCAAGGCGTGTGAGTGTGACGTCTCGCGCAAGTTTATAATACAGACATTATGTACAAATTCGCATTTTGCCGCCGATGCTAATGCCGAACCGGGAATTGGGATCGCGGTCTCGCTCGCTCGCTCTTGAACGGGCGAAACAGGGCGCATTCGCCTCTGATTAGGGCCGCCATTAGACATAATCCGTATGTAGCTGCACAGGAAGCGTGTGCTCGAGACGTCGGTGCGTTTGTACTCACGGATCGGTGAATTCAACATGTGTCCGACGAGCGCGTTAACACGCGCGTCATGTTGGTTTCTGTGGGTGTGTGTGTGTGTGTGTGTGTGTGTATGTATGTGTGTGTTTTGCGCACGGTGAAACCTCTCTCTCTCTTTCTCTCTCTCTCTCTCTATCCGTGCGTTCGTCTTTCTGTCTCTCTAATCGCGCTTTGTCTGTCTGTATCTCGATCCTTCCGTCAGCCTAGCGATATAATCGTTAGATGGGACAAATGATGACAGGAGTGCTCGACATTTGATCATACACAGTCGCTCTCTCTAGTAACGAAACAATACGCGAAAATTGCGCCGATATTGCGTTGCGCATTATGATACCGCTGTACCGTTTTCCTGATCTCGTGAATCTCTGTATAATCCTTCCTCTCGGTGAATTTAATTAAAGCAGCAATTTAAAGCTGCGTAATACTGCTTAAGCGTATAATTAAAGATGAAATGTAAAAAGGTATCGTTTTACGTTTCTTCTTGGAAATTCAGCCCGAATTATTGAGAATATTACGTAATAAGACAGCTATTACGAGGATAACAACGTATTTAATGAAATACCATTATGCAAGCAGCATTCGATTATTGCAGCAGCCAACGCAAATGAACAAAAAAAAAGTTGCAATAACGGCTACAGTCGAATTCCAACGAAGTTTACCTAAGTGTATGTGTGCACGCGCGTGCACCGCATTGTTTTGTTTCTAAATACAATAAATATAACAACGTGCAATTATTGAATATATGAAACCAAATGGGCAGAAATAATTGCAGAATGGAGGTAAAAATGTATGGAGAGATAATTGCGCGACGTATACGATTCTTCTGGACTAATCAATGGTCAAAATTTAAAGCCGCGCTTCGCTATTGACAAGAATGATTATTTATGCGCGGCCCGCAATAATCGGGCGATTATTGTATTAAATCGCCGCGCACGATGAGCCCCGTTTCGATTATTCAACCGTTTCATTCGCATTTATTTGCAATTGTAAAATTAACTTTTACACGCGCGTCTGCCAAGTGCGTTATTACCTGTTTTTCAGTAATTATTCGCATCATCACGCGTCGCGTCAGTTATTGGGTCTATTTCTTTTTCTGTATTGGCTGCAGCGAATAATCACGTAACAAGCGATATCACGTCAGTTTTCGTATTTTCTCATATATAAATTTAATTATTTTTTATACACTTGTGTACAATATATATATATATATATATATATATATATAATAATATATAAATATATAATAATATATATATAATATAATGTATAATATAAATTGTCGAAATGCATTTAACGTCGGAATTCCCTGCTGGAGCACATCACATTAACCGATATTAATGATCATCAAATTCGATATGCAAAGAAAATGAAACATGAAGGGCATACGTAATTTTCGGCAATTTCTACCAAAAAAAGTGCAACAAACAAAATTAAAATATTGGATAAATTTTTTTAATAACAGCAGATTTAGTGTCTTATTATTTTGTTGTAATTTAATAAATTTTATATATTTTTATTAATAACACAATACATAAGAAATGTTTTAAGACAACTTATGTGATATATATATATATATATATATATATATATATATATGTATTGTGTTATTAATAAAAATATATAAAATTTATTAAATTACAAAAAAATAATAAGACACTGGATCTGCTGTTATTAAAAAGATTTATCCAATATTATAATTTTGTTTTTTGCACTTTTTTTGGTAGAAACTGCCGAAAATTACGTATGCCCTTTATGTTTCATTTTCTTTGCATATCGAATTTGATGATCATTAATATCGGTTAATGTGATGTGCTCCAGCAGGGAATTCCGACGTCGAATGCATTTCGACAATTTATCTCTACACGTTCAACGCTGCGTTAATTAACGGCTAATCGTGGACGATAGAAAATTAGGCCATAATCAAAGTGCGTAACAATAGACTACTTAAGCTCAGTTTATACTGATTGCATTCAATTATCGCGTTTCAGTGCTATTGAAATCCCGAATCGAACGAGCATAAATTAGATGCATATTTTTAAGGGGTAACACCACTGTAAAATTTTCAAAAAATCGATTTTTTTTTTTTGGGCTTAAAAAATCCTTTGAACCCTGTAGAATACGAGGAAAAAACTTTTATACGTGAAACTAATTTTTTTCATCGAAATTCCGAGCTGTGTACCGAACGAGTCGGGCGACTCCGAAACGGCTCCAGGTGGAAACCTGTCGAGAGAGTAGTGCATAATACCTTGCTTATTGATTTCAAGTTATGTGAGACACTACTAGGATGTTTCTAGAGGTAGTTTTAGA